ACTACCACGCGTTGAAGTCAGGTAGAAACTACGTCAATCCGAGGGGACGAGACTTTTCCAAGTTTACCATCGACAAGAAGGGCACGCCGGGGATCGATCTTATGAACAAACACATGAGAAAACCGCTTGCCTTGTCTACGCTAGGCAATCGCCCTGGTGGGAGGCAACTGATCAGTGATGAACTAGGCTTCAGAGATTATGGTAGCGCACGGCCTAAGCTTTCCCCGAAGGTCGTCCAAGATCTGCAAGCAGCCAGGGCCAAACTCAGCGGTGAAGGTGATATGCCCCAAAGTGCTAAAGAAACATCAGACATTCTCGAAAAAATGTTGGCCACGTACAATGACAAACCCTTGCCGGGTTTCGAATTTCCTGTTCGAGAACTGCAAGGGCTAGACAGGGCATTGCGAAACATTCGTGGAGAACTCGTGAACAATATGGGGAAACTGAACGAAATTGATGAGCACATCGCCCGCGAGAAAATAAAACTCCCTGAAACCCATCATCGAAAAACAGTTGCGTGACAAGATGAGAGGCGGACTCGATTGGAATCCGCTTCCTCGAACCGGGACCAGCTTCGATCTCAGATCAACCGGGTGCGCGAAACAAGCGATCTAGTCCTGAATGAGGACACAACGTTGGCTGACAGGATCCGAATCCTTTTCCGAGAGCAAGGGATCACAATCGCCTGCATTCTGACTGCATTGGGCTTCATCATATCAACCTTGGTCGTATCGCTGAGTGGGGGGAACACCAAGTGGTGGTACACCCACCCCACCAAGCCCATCAGGCGACGTCAGAGACTGGGTAAAAAAACATCTGAAATCACTCGGTGAAGCCCTGGCTAAACTCGTGGGTAAGGCCGCCGAAGCCCTGCCCGGCATCCTGGGTAGCATCGTCTCGTGGCTGCTGAGCACGCTGTCAAAAACAGTCACATGGCTTGGTCAAAACCTGTGGGCAGCCATCGTCGCCGTGGCTGGGCTGGTGTACGTAGTGGCTAAGGAATTTTTAACCAAATGAGACCGACCGCCATCCCCCCAACCACCAGCGCTGTTTTACGATCGATGTGTTCCTTGTTTTCAGCCACCCGGTGTGGCGGCAGGGGCTGTGGTGGTGTGGGTTGAACCCTGGGCTCTGGGGGTGGTACGACTATACCCGTTTCACCCGTGGGAGGTCGGACGTGACACGTTGATGCCTGCATTGGCACCCAACTTCTGGTCGGCCGTGGCTATGACTATTTCGTTGTTGTAACCCACCACTTTTTTTACTCTCCGTTGCATATCGCTCGGGGCCATGTACAATCCCACGTTGAACACGTAGTCGACTTTCGACCGGGCGTATTCCGACGTCTTGGTAGCATCAGATAGCACTCAGTAGATCAACTGGAGCATTGATAGCATCCTCGACGTTAACAACGAACTGTTTCTGAGCGTCGTAAGCAGTCCCCTTACTGAGGATGTTGGAAAGCGTTTGCCAGTGCGCACCCAACAGCGCCCGCACGTACGTTCGAATCGAGTCGTTCAATCTGGTTACACTGGCACGAGTGAACCCTCTCGACGTGTCCAGCATGAACTTTTTCCAGTCATCCGCGGCTGGCTGCTCGAACCTCCAGACTCGGTAATCCTTGCTGTCATCGAAAGCCATGTAACGGTCATCCCACTCGTTTGTTGTGATGTGATGATATGACTTGTACCCCTTTCTTTCCTCTTTTCGCTGGCTTCCATGAGGGGCATGTTGTGAACGATGGGGATACCCAACCCATGGTTCAGGCCCGGCAAACGCCAATCAGTCTTCGGGTCTAGTTCGAATTCATTGGAAATGGGTTCGTAAACCCGTCTATCGTACGGGTTGTTTACTGCATCCCATGCTTTGTCCTGTGGTAGCAGAGCGCTGATCTCTTTGAGGATACGCCTGACCTGGTAGTACACGTGAAACGTGAACACAGACTAAGGCAGTGGTCCCCGCTGAGTGTCGGTCAATGTCAAGCCACACCCAGTCTTCGCACACCAGACGGCGAAGTTGAGTTGATTCTGCCAGAACTGCATTGGGGTGTTGAACCAGGCGTGGACTGCCTTGACGTAAGTCACCGAAAGCTTATATCGGTCGAACACATCTATGAACTGGGTTCTTAATTGAAACAGGTGAAAACGGAGAAGTACAATGACGGCAGATCCGAGTCGTTTTCACCACGGCAGTACAAGAGGTTAACTCGGGGCACCATCCCTGAGTTGGTAATATCAGTTTTAGATATAAAAAAGAATCCTGTGAATTTAGGATACCTCAGCATAACGCTGCACATAAAATGACTAGCGCACAAGGTCCCGGAATGAAGTTGAAACAATGCGTCAATGTGGGGATCTCCGACCTCGGGGACACACGCGGATTCGACGACCCCGGAGTAGATGGTAAACTATACGCCTTGCAGCTTAAAAACAGTATTTACAAACGCGTTGAAGTCCCCTCCATCGGTAGAACACTAGGGGATATAGTAGATACCTCAGGAGCGGCCCGCAACACTCGGTTCGACCTAGTCCCCATCGGTGATGATAGATGGGCGGTATACCCATCGTTTGGAGGTAAACTGTTCGACTTAGAAGATGTTGAGAGAACGGCCGTTGTTAGAAACAAGCAGTATACCCTCGTCTTCACTGGCGCCGACAAGTGGGAGTTGTTACCCGCTCAAGTTGACTGGTTTCTCAACATTAGTCTCGGCTCCCCCTACGTGTTCACGGAGAACAAAGACAACTACCTAAACAAAGTCATGAACAACGGAACCCTGCTCGTGGCTTACATCCCGGCGCAGAGGCGTAGCGTAATCATCAGCCCACTCTCCAGTATGGCAGCCCACATGCTGTCGAGCAAGCCCGGGATGCAAAACGTGGCATTGCAGGTGGTGTCTGAATTCGAAGGCATGGTCAACATCCTGGAGAGTCTAACGGGGAACTCCACACTGGTCATCCAAGTCTACCTAGGTGAACCACAGCGCGAAGTCGAAGTCATAAGGGGATCAAACTCCGGTGGGGGAAACAACACCAGTATCAGGTTTGCACTGTTTACGTGCGGGTGGGTGTCGACTCCCACAACAGTCTGCAGGGGGTCACCGTGACCGTGGAAGACACGATATCACTCACCAAGATCTTCTTACACCACAACATACACTTCATGGGGGTGAAGTGCACCCCTGAGAAGTTATCAGAAAAACAGTTGGAAACTATCTTATGATAGTAATATAACAATGACTAGTCATCGACCCAACGCCACGCTTAACGACCTAGGAGACACGAAGGGGTTTGATCTGCCCGGCAAGGAAGACGCCTTGTACGTCCTACACTTGAAAGACAACGTGTATAGGCGGGTGGCAATGGCCGATCATTGGCCCAACATCACACTCGGGGACCTAGGAGGCATAGAGGGATTCGATCAGCCCGGCGTGGACGGCGACTCGTACGTCCTGCGCTTAAGAGACGGCGTGTACATACGGCAGCCTCTGGCAAGACGACTTTACAGAGTCCAAATGGTTGATCAACATGACCCTCACCGCACCTTATATCTCGTTAAACAAAGGTAGGGATGTCTCCGAAATTAGGAACAACGGTATCTTGCTGGGGGCTTTCAGTCCGAATCATCAACATATACTCAGCTAATACCGGATCACACGGGTAACATGTTAGTTTCAGGCTGGAAGGTTGAGTTAAGGTTTGACGGCCCCGATTCCCAACTGGACCTTATGACTGTGAAACCAGGCTCCACACTCGCCATAGAAGTCTACCTCGGGGTACGTTTTGATGAAACAGGACAACTTTTACCCAGGGTGACAATACGCTGGTACTCCCCACACTTTCACCAACGTTGCTGTATCGTCATACAACCGGACCCCTTAATGGGTTCTATAGTCCCCTCAGTAAGCCCCTGTAGTGTTCATGTGGGCGCAGAGGTACCTATTAGCCTCTCACCTATTTCCCTGTACAGTGGTCTAAACCTTATAAGCCTCAAATACACTGTGCAAGAATTATATTACATACAATTTAAAGATATTTCATAGAATGTATTATATACACAGGATGGGGCTGTACCCAGTCGTAGAGGAAGTAGCAAAGACACTGGAAACCGTAGACGGGTTCCGCTTGAGACAGTTATGCGACATAAAACACCAAATAGAACAAGACCGCGACAGACGGGCAGCATTGTACAAGAAGTACTATAGAGCTTTCAATGCCGTGGACGGGGTTGATACCACCCTTATGGCAACCAGCATGGGACTAGGGGCGGTAGGTGTCGGGTTGTTGGCCACCATCGTAGCCGCACCCATAGTGCTAGGCATCGAAATAACAGCTGGGGTGTCAGGGTTGGCGGGGTTGGTGTTTAAGTTTGCATCCCACAGACTGCATCGTAAAGCGTTGAAGCACGACGAGATCAGGGTTCTGGCTGAAGCAAAGCTGAACACGGTGAGCGACCACATCTCCACCGCACTCACTGACAGTAAAGTCTCCGAGGAGGAGTTTCATTTGGTCCTCTCTGAATTCGACAAGTACCATAAGATGAAACAAGAAATCCGGTTCAAGTCTCGTAAGTCTGCTATCAGTGAAGATGAGAAAAAAAAGTACATAGAACAAGGGGTACAAAAAGCCCGGCAAGCCTTCATTATGAATACCAAAGAGATCATAGGCGATTCACATTAAACTGTTTCCTCGAGGTCAACACGACATAGAGCTATCGTGTCACGTGATCAGGAAAGTGTTGGTTCGCGGTCATAGTGACCAGGAAGTTAACTGGTGGTTCAAACCTGGTATATACAATGCCGAGAGAGATAAGGGCCTGACAAAAGCTTTATTTCATAAATGAAGCTTTTCAGAGGCTTTTGTTGGACTTGATTTCGTACCCCCAGTGTATATACTACTCCTTCAATTAATATGCTTTTAGCAGAGTTTTCTTATAAATATGGATAGAGTATTTAAACATACGTTAGTTTGACAACGTAAGGATCTGGGAGGAGTCCTACATACCTCGTCATGGCTAGATACACGTGTCGAGAGATGAGGACACAGACGATGGCCACGCCCATCACAGAACCGCCAACCAGTGCTCCAATCAGGATGCCGGAATCACCTATGTAATAAAGAATAACTGCTCGTTTGTATCACTTCTCAGGAGATTAAGTCATGTATATTTACCAACGAGTGGCCTTATTGACGCTCTACTACGCGATGTCACAGTGAACTCATTGACGCTCTACTACTCAATGTCACAGTGACCTCATTGACACTCTACTACTCAATGTCACAATGAGCTTATTGACACTCTACTACGCGATGTCACAGTGAACTCATTGACGCTCTACTACTCAATGTCACAGTGACCTCATTGACGATCTACTACGCGATGTCACAGTGAACTCATTGACGCTCTCCTACTCAGTGTCACAGTGACCTCATTGACTCTCTTCTACGCGATGTCACAGTGAACTCATTGGCTCTCTACTACTCAATGTCACAGTGACCTCATTGACTCTCTACTACGCGATGTCACAGTGATCTCATTGACACTCTACTACGCGACGTCACACTGACCTAATTGATGCTCTATTACTCAATGTCACAGTGAACTCATTGTCGCTCTACTACTCAATGTCACAGTGACCTCATTGACGATCTACTACGCAATGTCACAGTGAACTCATTGGCGCTCTACTACTCAATGTCACAGCAACCTCATTGACACTCTACTAAGCGATGTCACAGTGATCTCACTGACTCTCTACTACGCGACGTCACACTGACCTAATTGATGCTCTACTACTCAATGTCACAGTGAACTCATTGACGCTCTACTACTCAATGTCACGGTGACCTCATTGACACTCTACTACCCATCATGTCCCAATGACCTCACTGACGCCCTACTACCGAATACCTCTCAGTGACCTCATTGACGCTCTACTAGTCAATGATACAGTGACCTCATTGACGTTCTACTACCAAACATGTCCCAGTGACCTCACTGACGATCTACTATCCAACATGATACAGTGACCTCATTGACGCTCTACTAGCCAATGATACAGTGACCTCATTGACGCTCTACTAGCCAATGATACAGTGACCTCATTGACGTTCTACTAGCCAATGATACAGTGACCACATTAATGCTCTACTACCCAATGATACAGTGACCTCATTGACGCTCTACTAGCCAACATGATACAGTGACCTCAGTGATGCTCTACTAGCCAATGATACAGTGACCTCATTGATGCTCTACTACCAAACATGTCCCAGTGACCTCACTGACGATCTACTACCCAACATGATACAGTGACCACATTGACGCTCTACTACCCAATGATACAGTGACCACATTAATGCTCTACTACCCAATGATACAGTGACCTCATTGACGCTCTACTAGCCAACATGATACAGTGACCTCATTGATGCTCTACTAGCCAATGATACAGTGACCTCATTGATGCTCTACTACCAAACATGTCCCACTGACCTCACTGACGATCTACTACCCAACATGATACAGTGACCTCATTGACGCTCTACTACCCAATATCTCCCAGTGACCTCATTGACGCTCTACTAGCCAAAGATACAGTGACCTCATTGACGTTCTACTACCAAACATGTCCCAGTGACCTCACTGACGATCTCATACCCAACATGATACAGTGGCCTCATTGACGCTCTACTACCTAATATCTCCCAGTGACCTCATTGACGCTCTATTAGCCAATGATACAGTGACCTCATTGATGCTCTACTACCAAACATGTCCCAGTGACCTCACTGACTATCTACTACCCAACATGATACAGTGACCTCACTGACGCTCTACTACCCAATATCTCCCAGTGACCTCACTGACGCTCTACTAACCAATATATCCCAGTGACCTCATTGATGCTCTACTACCCAATATCTCCCAGTGACCTCACTGGCGATCTACTAGCCAATATATCCCAGTGACCTCATTGACGCCCTACTACCAAACATGTCCCTGTGACCTCACTGGTGATCTACTACCCAACATGATACAGTGACCTCATTGACGCCCTACTAGCCAATATCTCCCAGTGACCACATTGACGCTCTACTACCCAACATGATACAGTGACCTCATTGACGCCCTACTAGCCAATATCTCCCAGTGACCACATTGACGCTCTACTACCCAACATGATACAGTGATCTCATTGATGCTCTACTACCAAACATGCCCCAGTGACAACACTGGCGATCTACTACCCAACATGATACAGCGACCTCATTGACTCTCTACTACCCAACCTGATACAGTGACCTCACTGACGCTCTACTACCCAATATCTCCCAGTGACCTCATTGACGCTCTACTAGCCAATAAGATACAGTGACCTCATTGATGCTCTAAACTCAACATGCCACAGTGACCTTAATGAAGTTCTTCCAGCCATCATGTTACATTGAACTCATTGATGCTCTACCACCCAATATGTCACAGTGACCTCATTGACGCTCTTCCAGCCAACATGTCACAGTGACCTCATTGGCTCTGTTCCAGCCAACATGTTACATTGACATCACTGACGCTCCCCTACCCTGGAAGTTACATAACTACCCAGTTTACCAGGTTCCGGTTGATGTTGGGCGCGAGTGTTGTTTCCCACGCAGGAAATGTTGTGGCTGAAATAGAACACCTTAATTCAAATGTCAGCTCAAACACTCGTCCTATGGGGATCATGGACATATCGACATGGAACCCTGCAGTACCTGAGCATCATCAGAGCAGCAATGAACTTAGACACATTGTTCAGACCATTAATACCACATACAGTACTTCTCCATGGCACTTCTCTTATAGCCTATACCGAATACCTTCTGAACTGATGGTCTGTCAACACCTGAACCTACTTTGAAGAATGTATTTCCTCAAACGTGTGACAAGACGAATCCATGCTGTCGGTTATAAAGCATCTTTGTGAAAGTGTGTTCTTTCACTGCATTTGTACATGATAAAACAAGAGCGAGCGAGTTGTTTTATCCCGCTTTTAACAATATTTCCGTAATACCAAGGTGTGTCATATATACCTGCACTAAAGACCTACAAGATACAGGTCTGAGACGGCTACTACTTGCGTGAAACTCACAACTACAAGGTTGGAATCAGCCAGCACGGGATTCTGGTTTGCTAAAGACACACAACACTGCGAATTAAGACGCCTTAGACAATATATTCTGTGAACAATAAAAAGATTCTATTATCTTCCTAATAACATCTGAGCTGGAAGACTCTCTGACCTAACTGACCTATCCCTGAAAAGGCCACTGACCTGCAATTTCCACTACAATCTTGGGAACAATTTATCCAAACCGTGCAGAGTGGTGCGTGTTCCACTGGAGCATCTGAAATGGAAAAACGCGGTTTAGTAGATAAGTCTGGTTTCGACATTATAGTTGTGCAAGGGTATCAAAATATACTACTGATCTATCGCAATGAACGTACAATGAAAGTATATTGTTGCATCATGCTACAGGGACTAGGGGCATGAGTGCTGATTTGTTTTTGATCATACAAATTTGTATATCAAAACATAGTTTTGAAATAACCAGCTGCATCACATAAACTCCAGTGTATAACATAAAAACGTATCAAGATCACATAACCTCCAATGTACGACATAACGTACCCTGTATCACATAACCTCCAATGTACGACACAACGTACCCTGTATCACATAACCTCCAATGTACGACATAACGTACCCTGTATCACATAACCCCCAATGTACGACATAACGTACCCTGTATCACATAACCTCCAATGTACGACACAACGTACCCTGTATCACATAACCTCCAATGTACGACATAACGTACCCTGTATCACATAACCCCCAATGTACGACATAACGTACCCTGTATCACATAACCTCCAATGTACGACATAACGTACCCTGTATCACATAACCTCATATGTACGACATAACGTACCCTGTATCACATAACCTCCAATGTACGACATAACGTACCCTGTATCACATAACCCCCAATGTACGACATAACGTACCCTGTATCACATAACCTCATATGTACGACATAACGTACCCTGTATCACATAACCTCCAATGTACGACATAACGTACCCTGTATCACATAACCCCCAATGTACGACATAACGTACCCTGTATCACATAACCCCCAATTTACGACATAACGTACCGTGTATCTCATAACCTCCAATGTACGACATAACGTACCCTGTATCACATAACCCCCAATGTACGACATAACGTACCCTGTATCACATAACCCCCAATTTACGACATAACGTACCCGGTATCACATAACCTCCAATGTACTACATAACGTACCCTGTATCACATAACCTCCAATCTGCGACATAACGTACCGTAAACATACACTGTATGATACAACCTATATAATGTGTCGCAACATACAATTTGTTCACATAACTTACCCTGTGCCACATTACATGCGGTTACTTTACTATATATGAGTATGAGGAGTAAAGTATGCAATAGTTCACCTGGAGTCTGCCATTGACAGGATATGTTGACTACATCCTGGCAACTGGTCTGATTGAAGCAGCTGCCATCTAGGATTCTGGAATGTAGGCGGACAATGTCAGAAGTGAATGTATTTGGTTTATATTGTGTTTCAGCTATGATTTGGTTTAGTTTGACGCCGCAGTAAATCCATATGTGGCATTAACCATGTTGGTGAAAAGTGCCGACACATCCACAAACGCGTAATCGCGACCATAAGGTTATGGTGCACCATGGGGACATTACTCTGCACAAGGGGACATTACTCTAAAACGACTTGCATCTTCGCCTTCGACAATGACAATCAGTTACTACCTGGCATAGGCGGATCCAGAGGGGGGCGCAGGGGTGTGCACTCCCTCCTTTTGTGATGTAAGTTTGTTAAATGACCATTGAAACTCAGTTGAAAATGAAGTGTGCACCCCTCCTTTTCTCAATAGTGTGCACCCCCCTTTCTCAAAAGCTGTATCCGCCCCTGCCCGGTTACTTGTTGTTTAGTGATCAAAAGACTGGACATATATACTGAGTCAAAAAAGAAACTTCACATTCTTTCTTCAGGGCACTATAAAAGAACAAGAGATGGTAAGATGGTTAAATTGTTATTATTTCATTGCTGAGATCTGTGTGATGTACTCGATACACTGACAGTGCCATAATCAGTTCCATTAGGCCACACCGCCGTTCCAAAACATGGGTATACAGAATGTCAAGTCACAAGAATAAAAATGCGAAATTTCTCAGTTCAATATCGTGTATGGCCGCCCCGCGCATTCACCACTGCCAAACACCGTCTCCTCATCGACTGCCTGATGCTTGTGAACACGTGGTTGGGGATTCTGCGCCATTGCTCTTGCAAGGCAGCGCCCAGTTCCTACAAACTCTGAGGTTGGTTCCTAAGACCACGAAGCCTTCTCCCAAGTGCATCCCAAACGTGCTCTATTGGATTAAGGTCAGGGGACCTCGATGGCCAGTCCATGACGTTGATTCCCGCGTTTTGAAGGAAATTTCGTGTCAACATCGCGGTATGCGGCCGAGCATTATCATGCTGGAACTGTAAACCTGGGCCATGAGCCGCCATGAAAGGAACGAGTTCAGGGGTGAGCACCTGGTCGCGGTAAGCAGCAGCTGTGAGGTTTCCACGGATGACCAGAAGTCGGGAACGGTTGTTCCCACAGAAAGCACCCCACAGCATGCAACTTCCGCCCCCGAATCTGTCGACTTCCTGTACACAACATTGGGCATACTGTTCACGACGTCGTCTCCAGACTCTATGCCTGCCGTCCGCGAATCTGAGGGTAAACCTGGATTCATCGCTAAAGAGGACTCGATTCCAGTCTCTCTGGGTCAACAGCAGACGTTGACGTTGATGAAACGGCGTCAGTATTGGCCCACGATATGGACGTCGAGAATGGAGATTGGCAGCCCGCAACCTATTTCGAATGGTCTGTGAGGACAGTCGACCTCTAAACATCTCAGCCCGGGTTCGTGTAGCCGGCAGAAATCTGTCACGTAGGTGACGTAGGACGATTTGACGGTCTTCTGCTCGTGACGTCACACGTGGACAACCCGACCTTGGGCGATCAGAAGTGGTGCCAGTTTGTTGTAGACGACCTCGCAAATCATACACAGTACGACGGCTGCATCCCATTGCTCTTGCGACGTCAATAACTGATCTTCCCGCTTGCAACATGCCAACGGCACGTTCACGTTGCACATTTGACAATTGTGGCATTTCAAGTACCGTTAGAACTGTGGTTTAAAAGTCTGTTTTTTCAATTCTTGAGGCCAATGCAAACACGTGCATATGAAGAAAACTTCGATGTGAAGATCACGTGATCGACTGCAAAACCTGATTTGGCACTAACGTCATTTGCACGACGAATGGATGGGTTTGAGTGGGTTTTGCTAACGTTTTTCAAATTACATTTTGTGAAGTTTCTCTTTTGACTCAGTATATGTATAGACCTGTAATGAACCCACTTGTCCCGTGTGTCAAATAAAAAGGGTCGCTCATCGTTGGAAGCATGTTTCTACGTTTGTAAGTGTTTTGCTCAACCGAATGTAACTTACCCTTTAATGACGTCAGTTGTCTGGTTTGACACCTCGATATGAGATGCCCTGCAACACAATCACTTACTCGGTTTATGGTTATAACCGTTGGCTGGATTTTGGTGATGTAATTTCATATACGTTTTTAACGACACAGAAAAGCTAGTCCGTCTCATTAGAAACAAACAATAGCGGATAATATGTCGAGCAAAAGAATGCATACATTTGAAATAGGATCTGACCAAACATCGATAACGATGTTCTGCCACTAGGCTTAACACAGTTACCGAAACACTGCTAACTGAAGGTATAAAACACAGCCATGACGCCAACATTAACTACATCGTCATCGAATAACCTTTGACAAAAGTGTATTTTCTTTTGTCTAGCAGTGTAACTGTTGTCTGCATATTACAGTGACGGTAGGACCACAACACTGTGAGGGCTCATGGTTTTAACACCAGTGTTTGTGTAAGGTACCAGTTTCATGACAACTTTGATAATTCTTCTTCCGCATTGACATTTCATTTATGTACCACAGGCACTCGTGTCTTTGCGAGGATTATATACTAAGCAGCAAAAGAAACGACAGTTTGGAATTTTCCTTCGCAGAAACGGATAACTGTAAACTCATTTAATGTTTTGATTGTTTATTGTTGACAACATCTCCAACTTTATCTGAGCAAAGACATTCCTTCCCAAACTCAGAATTGAAGCCAGGAAATGATCTCAAAAACGCAACCTGATCTAGGCGATGGTACGGTGTTCTCCATGTTTTTAATGCAACTCATGCTGCATGTGCTGTTCACAAGGACCAGCCCTATAAAACGCACCCCAAACCTGCTTGAAACATTCACATTACAACGTCAGCAGGATGACGGGACAAGCCGTTGCCAATGACTTCCAGGTCAACGTTCGGACCATCTAAAGGCTGCAGCAACGTTCCCGGGCCACCAACACCACAAATGATCGCCCCCGTACTGGCAGACCAAGGGTGACCACAAGACGACAAGACCGCCATGTTGTGCGACAGTATGTACAGAATCCCTTCATGCAGGCATCCACCAGACAGTGGGAACACACGGAAGACCAATTAGTACTGAAACAGTACGCCGACGTCTTAACAGCGGGAAAGTCCATTGCCGTAGACCTTACCGTGGACCTATCCTCACCCTGCGTCATCGGCGTGAACGTCTACAGTTTGCCCTACAACACCAAAACTGGCGATACAGGCAATGGAAAACTGTTCTGTTCACAGATGAGAGTCGGTATTGCGTATCAACTGCAAATGGCAGAAGAATATGGCTCAGACCAATGTGTTATGAAAAGAGACTCATGGGGAGGTGCAACATCATGGTATGGGGTGGAATAGGCCTGAACCAGAGAGTGGGTCCTGTGGTGTTCCAGAACCTTGGTCCAGGGAGAGGAGGCGGCACCACAGCGGTGCGCTACATCAACCAAGCTCTCAGACACCACGTCATACCACATTTCGCACGTCACCGGAACAACATTTTCCAGCAGGATAACGCCCGGGCCCATACTGCCAGAGCCACGCGGGACTTCCTACAGCAGAACGGTGTCAACATTATGCAGTGGCCAGCCCTTAGTCCTGATTTAAACCCAATTGAACATTTTTGGGATGAAATTCAGAGGAGACTGAATCATGTCATACCAAGGCCGAATTCAGCCGATGTATTGCGCCAGGCCTTTCTCTGAGTGTGACTCCAGGTGCCAATGGCCTTCATCAATCGATTGGTGCACTCCATGCATAGACGCTGTGCTGCAGTTATTGCCGCTCGTGGTGGTCACACTAGATACTGAAGTCAAGAGTCTGAATGGACTGCAAATGTTCACATAATGTCTTGAAATTGTGCTGAGTTATTCATCGATGTATCAACATATTGTACACAAAAAATGGTTTTGATCCGCTTATTATGTCCATTTCTGTATTGATTTGATTACAGTGCCTATCTAATTTTGAATTCGTAGTAACGTTTGTTTTGCTGCTAAGTATAGATGAAAAAAAGATAATAAAATTAGTTTCGTTAAAAAAAATCTGTTGAGCCCCGACTCGAAATGCTTCACAGTAAATAAATCATAGTTCTATGCTGTGAGTCCCAGTTATAGTTCTACACATTGTATCTCATGGTCTGTGTACTGTACTTTACTGTACTGTACTGTGAAGCATTTCGAGCCGGGAGTCATCTGAAATTTAAGACAATATTTTTTTACATCTTATCTTTTACATCTACATTTTTTTATATCTTTAAACCTCGCAAAGACACGAGGACCTGTGATACGTACGACATATACGTAATAGCTGCACGTTGCTGATGCAGTGTTAATCAGTATATTCACTCACATCATTATTTCTTACAAATGACTGATCTGCCAGAATTTCAGTTTTACTCACGTGATTGGTTTCGGAAATAACATGACAGCGTTGTACAGCAGCATGACGTGTATGAGACATGTGCCCACACCTGCAAACAATGACATACATGTGCAGGGATTATTCTGTGCCCTCAAACCTTCAGTGGACAGAAGTAGTGCGGTGCCGATTATCAACATTCGCCTCATTACACCGTGTTAATGGAGACTGATACAGTGGCTTTTTCGTTTAATCGAGGTAGAAATACAATAAGATCTCATTAACTTATATCAGCCAGTATTGATAAAGATATACCGGTACATAGAAAGATTGGCGTAAACATGTTGCTAATCGGGTGTTCCGCGTACAGCGAAAGAATCCATCCCCACTACACAGTGCTCACTTTCCATTTCCGAAACCCTTCAAGTGATTTACGTAATACACAAGTTGAACCCCAATGACGTCAAGCCCTGGGAACTAAGTAGTTTCATGTCGTGATTCAGCCATGCATGTAAGTATTTAATGTAAGGCATGTGTTTACCTAGGTATTGATATTATATGTGTAACTCTTCAGGTGTGCGTGAGAGAATTTCACTTTCACTTGTTGATATATTAAAATACAAGATAAACTTTGATAATGATATTAATGTATCCGTTTGATGTTCTACGCGTTGTAATGAACTTTCTTATCGGTTTACATACATTGACTAGTAGACAAACATGTTACCTCGGTTTCTGTTATCGACTGCACGGGTGATGTATACTCTTTATAAAGGTAGGGGAACCTGAACTGTCAATTTAGATAGAGAGTATAAGCCTTAACAAACTTTCCAGAGACATACATTATTCTCTTTATCACCACCCCTACACACAACGCATGGGATGCACGTGCACGACGCAGTAGCCCCACACACGTGCATGGGGTGCCATTCTTGACTTTGACGGTTTTCAAGAAGGTCGATAAATCACTGTGGACCATTAATTTTGATAATCATCTGTACAAACAATTATGGTCATAAGGAAATGCAAGTGGCGATGCACAATCAGAAATTCATTATTGTCATATCAAGATTGATTGACTCCCATATATCTCACATTTTTTTCAATCGTAAATAAAAAATAGAGTATATATCTGCTGGTTCAGTGCGTTTTTTCTTGTGTGTTTTGCAGTGCATGCTAAAAGATCATGATAACATACTTTACCTGCACGGACGGAACGTGGAGACATGGCCCCTGGTGTACAGCGTTACCTAGGGTAGAAGGGAACAGGGAATATGAAGCTAGTGTCGATGATGGAATGTTTAGATAGAGAAACCGTAGAACACGAAAACACTTTAGAGCAAGGCATTACAACGGAGCAAGTCAACCCAACAGCAACCCCTATCACATCCTACATTCAATACGCTTTGTTGTACCATATTGTCACTCAATAGATTTGTCTCATGACATTGCTATCAGACAAGAGATCACTATCAGACATTGTCTGACATTATACAGTGAATACCGGCTATAGTTCCATACAGTGAATACCGGTTATAGCTCTATACAGTGAATACCGGTTATAGTTCCATACAGTGAATACCGGTTATAGTTCCATACAGTGAATACCGGTTATAGTTCATACAGTGGATACCGGTTATAGTTCCAAACAGTGAATACCGGTTATAGTTCCATACAGTGAATACCGGTTATAGCTCCATACAGTGAATACCGGTTATAGTTCCATACAGTGAATACCGGTTATAGTTCCATACAGTGAATACCGGTTATAGTTCTATACAGTGAATACCAGTTATAGTTCCATACAGTGAATACCGGTTATAGTTCCAGTGAATACCGGTTATAGTTCCATACAGTGAATACCATACAGTTCCATACAGTGAATACCGGTTATAGTTCCATACAGTGAATACCGGTTATAGTTCCATACAGTGAATACCGGTTATAGCTCAGTGAATACCGGTTATATACGGTACCGGTTATAGTTCCATACAGTGAATACCGGTTATAGTTCCATACAGTGAATACCGGTTATGGTTCCATACAGTGAATACCATACAGTGAATACCGGTTATAGTTCCATACAGAGAATACCGGTTATAGTTCCATACAGGGAATACCGTTTATAGCTCCATACAGTGAATACCGGTTATAGTTTCATACAAGGAATACCAGTTATAGTTCCATACAGGGAATACCGGTTATATTTATATACAGTGAATACCGGTTATAGTTCCTTACAGTGAATACCGGTTATAGATCCATACAGTGAATACCGGTTATATTTATATACATTGATAACCGGTTATAGTTCCATACAGTGAATACCGGTTATAGTTCCATACAGTGAATACCGGTTATATTTATATACATTGATAACCGGTTACAGTTTTATAGTTCTATACGGTGTACCCATGCTATCGTTGTATGCGGGGAGTCCAGGTTAGACCTCACCCTGTCAATGTTGAACATTACTGCCTATAAATGTTGTTTACATACATAAGTGAATCGTTTATTAGGATACAGTATAATCAGGATATAATAGGCTTATATCGTGCGTCAATCAAACATTTATTTCCATTATTGATGTGGGTATTGTTAAATAGTGGTGCAACAAAATACATCTCATATATATATATTGTGATTTAAATGTTAGCATCAGTGAGGTGTACAACACAGTGTTGCTTCTGAAGTCTAATCATACAAGCACACCAGTGAGGAACTCAAGATAACTAATGAAGCTGAACTAAGCATACGTTTAATAACGTACCCGAGACAGTCTCAGCGTTTTGGATTGTAATTAGACCTGGAGTTAAAAGATACGTTAGCATTGAAAAAGTTCACTTACAAGCATGTCAAATATTTTTAAATGTCGGTCCACAGACACCAAATGCAATAGTATATGGAGAATGTGGACGGTTTCCAGTTTATATTAATTCCTACGTTCGAACGATGAAATATTGGCTTAAGTTATTGACAATGCATGATGGACAAATTCCGAAAAAGGCATGTAATATGTTATACTACCTAGATACTGCTGGGTACCACACATGGACGTCTGAGATCCGCCGTATACTTTGCTCACACGGCTTTGGATTTGTCTGGTTTTCACAAGCTGTCGGTGATCCGTGCGCTTTTATTCACATTTTTAAAGAACGCTTGATCAATTATTTTAACCAAAATTGGACATTTACTTTTGAAAACAGTTCACGTTATACGTTATATGCAAAATATAAGAGTCTTCTTGAGCCTGAGGAGTATCTGTTTTCAAATTTGAAATATAAATTCCGTAAAGTATATGTTGGTCAAATTTAGAGCTGGTGTCTTCCGTTTAAAGATTAACGTAGGTACCTGGCAAAATATTGATGTATCTCAAGGAAATTGTCCTGCATGTAAAGTAGATTTAGAAGATGAATATCACTTTTTGTTGAAAAGTCCAGCTTATAAAGATCTTCGGGATAGATATTTGCCTAAGAATGTGCAAGTAAATATAATATCGTTTAGAAATATCCTTAAACAAAACAAAACTGAAGACATAAATAATCTAGCTCGTTTTATCTATTATGCATACCAAATAAGGGAAAAATTAGAAAAATAGAAATAGGTATTAGAATTATTTTAAAAAATCAAGTACAGCTATACATGTACATACATGTATATATGTAACTGATATTTTTCACTTGGGGTGTAAGAAAATCTACTCAGGTAGACAGGTAAATGTTAAATCTTTCAAGAAATTGTTTCCTGTTTTTATACCTGTTTCGAATATGTATGTTAATATTTATCATCCAATATGTGTTCAACAGGGTATATCGCATGTGTGAGATCAGACCATATCTCCTAAAAGTTCTGTCGGAAATAGAAAAAACCCTGTTTTTTGCGCTTTGATATCTACAATTTATGTAGTTGATATGTGTCAGTGTGAAATATCTGTTTAACTTAGTTCGGCCTAACTACAGTCTCAGGGGCAGGGAGATAGGAAACGTAGAAAAAGGACTTTACTGATGAGAGATTAGTGCAGAAATGAGAAATGAGTCCAACGCGACTTATTTGGAACAGACCATGGCTTTATGCAAATTAGTGTGTGATGATATTATATTACAAAGGACAATTTTTATATGTCCATTTTGAAATTAAACTTAGCTTCATTATAAACGATAGCTGACGTAAAAAAATAATAACTTTAATACTGAAACTATAAAGGATGTAGCAACCATGGATTCTCTCACTATCACTATAAAAAGAAACAGGTAGGAGGGGGGCGTCTCAAAAGCAAATCCAGGACGGGTGTCGCAGACAGTGGTTGGGGTTGGGCTGGGGGGATAGAGATATAAGCTGAGATAAGATAATCCTTTAGGGGAATTAAACAGGGAAGCAAACGGCATGTCATAACAATATGCAAATAATATCCAGTCCTGTCGATCTTCGGGTGGTCATGCCACCTATATATTTTGAGACATTTAATACGATGGCTGATTTAAGTTTTTCCATGGGTATCATGCCCTTTAACGCATCTCAACATAAACTTTATGATCAATAGATGAGACATATACAACACACATGAAAAAGCATAAAATATCTTTGAGATGACCAATTGTGCTTGTAGGCAGGACGTGCATTTCATGCCAGGCAAACCGAAACATGAGTCTCATTAACCTATTCAGACAATGACCTACTTTTCAGCGGATCCGAATTTTCTCGTGTGAAAGTGAAAATAGACATCACAAACAACTATGGTTATATTGAATTCCAATTCCTTGTTTCATAAGAAAATACAATTTACAAATGAATTTTAATTTTAAACCTTAATAACATCGTATTTCTATATTTTATTGCGGGGTTTAGGCAGCATGACCTTAACTAAGACGTCACAGGCTGCCCTTGTTTGATGAGGTCGTAAAATTATTCACAATGCATCTGGCTCACTGGTTACACCTGTTCTGTATTGTTTGCGTTGATTCAGTGTAGTTCTGTTACGCACAATGTGATTGATATAATATCAAGTCCGTACCAGACCGCCAAACATTTCTAGCGGCCCAGCCTCGTTTTGAGATTTCTACGATTTCCAGGTTTCCGTTTGTCAGAGCTCGCTGTACGACAGAGCACGCTGCACGACGTGTTTGCAAGGATTAGAAGGAGCGTAGTGTTGCAATACACAGGTGCTTAGATGTATCAAATAATACTGATTAATAATTATGTATCCAGTTAAATGAATTGGTCTCAAAATTCTGGACTGGTTATTGTACTAAGTTGCGCAATAGGACGGGACCCAGTCAATAGGAAACGAGACTGTTGTGTAATCAATGTTTTGACTTGTGAGTCGACGGTCCGTCGTCATACCTGGCTGAGCGACCTAATTGCCATCAAAAGTCCGATCTATTGTTTTGAGCAGCTATTCGTAGTTTTGCCCGATTTTACGAGTAAACATGCTTTTCTGGATATACGACTCGTACTATTACGCATCCCACTGAATGCCCACAACAATTAGGCCGATGTGGGTTATTTCAATACATGTATATGCTATTTGGAAATTTGTCAATTTTAGGGATACAGAGTAACAGCCTAAAAACAGTGGTTTGCTATTTTCTATTTTCATCGCTGCACTGCGAATCTAATGGCAGTACTGTGTTCAGAGATGTACATTTTTCGTTAAAAACTAATGAAGAGGTTTTTTTAATGATAAATAGAATCTCACCCGAGTGCATTTGATATCAAATATATTAACACTCCTTGATAAAAGTAAAAATATCCTCGGCAAGCCTCGGATGTTTGTTACTTTATCAACTCGTGGTGATATATTTGATATCAAAATACACTCGGGTGAGATTCTCTATGTATATGGGCCTGTGGCCTTTATACGTAATAAAGATTTGGATGATGATGATGATGAGTTGTTAATCATGACAAAACATCCAACATTACAGTAATCGCACTATGCATTATCAATATCCTATTATCGATACAGATAATTACAAGAGAGGCAAATTTTACCATCCACCTTTAAACCCAAGCTCTTTGAAAGCAAGGGTGAAAAGTGTGACCATAACAGCATTAACAGGTTACCACAGGTGGCAAATATTAAGGTTTGTCTGCAAGTTTGGCGCTACGATGTGTACACACACAAATCAAGGGTTTGGTAGGTGTTGGCGACGAAGCTGCATGTAGCATACCAGGGGCACGTTTCATAAAACGATCGCAGCGCTACGACTGTGGTAAGTCTAGTCGTATGTTAAAGTAAGGGAGTTACGAC